AAATATATATATATTCATATACTTATATATATGTATGTTTATACAGAAATATATGTGTCCTGGGTAGCATGTGTTTTTGTGGGTATGTATATTCCATCTTGGATACAAATAATCTGTATAGGTGACGTGCATTGATTTGCTGGTGTTCGTAAAACTAAGGCGTGTTGGGCATATTCAGCCACTGGCATACATATTCGTGTCTTACTATTTCATTATCCAACTATACACCAATACATATCTTGCACATAACTCACATTTTGCGTGTAAAACACGACACTCATGACGCTGAATACAGTTCATCCGATCATTTCGAGACCTTTGATAGGCGTTTGACAACAAACAATCAATTGCACGTGGATGCACTCTCGTCAGATGTTTTAACTGATTTCTACGTCTACCACATAGACACAGTTGAATCCACTACCCACACAAACATCTGTACTCACCCCACCTGAAACCTTTGCATCTCTTCACCGCACAGGCTCCAATGCCCCATCAGCTGACCACGCCTTTAAATTAGGGTCAGACAAACCCAAGCCACGACGCTCAGGCGACTTACCGCCAGCCACCAACACCAATCGCACACCTCATCCCAGTGCACGGGCCGAGCAAAGCGGCGTGTTCAGGTCTAGCGCTGGTAGGTATTGATGACTCATTCGTAGGTATTGTTGACTCATTCGTAGGTATGGATTACTCATCCGACGTCTTTTGCACCGTCGTTGTCGTGAGTGGTTTATAAGCATGTGCATTGACTGCACTAGTTGGCACGTGCCATCGTAAAGGTTCATAAGGCGGTTGACATGCACACCAACATGCTTTCTGTTATCTTCTCTGTGCTCATCAGTACGCCTCTGTTAAAACACGCGCGCCTGTGCTACTCACTCTAGTCACTCATTCTAGTCACTCACTCTAGTCACTGTAGGTTTCCTTTGAATCCCTCCGATCATGATTTTATGCCCGTGTTTCGGTTGCTTTGCACATATGCTTGTTGCCGCACATTTAAGTGTTTGTACGAATGGGTTTGTTTGTTCCATTCACGGGTCGATTCCACTTGTAACCAATACTGCCGGGTCTATTTACACACATCTCCATCCCAATAGACTGATCAATTCCTCCCTTACACCTCTGAGCTAACAATTCATAAACAAGGCAGTTTCAATCGATATGAATCGCAGTGTTGAGCTACGTTGCCTTATCCAACAAATACTATTATATGAATTCACCCCTCTCAACACCCCCGGCATCGAAGGCTTGCCCCCCAGCCCTCTCGTCTGTAAGCTTTGTCACGCGTCTCCACACTGCATGAGGCATGTGTCTGGTGTGAGCCTTTCGGCTTTCTTTGGGTGTGATCAGCTCAGCCAAATTCACTAACGTACATACATTCTGGTCACATTAACACCCGAGGGTGTCTGTGTGAGTGATTCATTCGCCTACCAACGCACGACGTTACACCCATGCGTATGTACTGAAACAGTCACCCGCAGTCTCAGGACAGTTCGAGTCCACAATTGCTGATTCGGGTGCACTTCCTACTTGTCCTATTTTAGCTCCTCCTGGTCGTGGAGGCCATGTTCCGGTCCAGCGCTCACTGCCACTGCCCGACCGCAATAGGCCATTGCAAACCAACGTTAAAGGGTGTGTGCATATGTGTATGCGTGTATGCGCGTATGTGTGTATGTGTATGTGTGTATGTGTATGTGTGTGAATGTGTGTTATATGTGTGTGTATATGAGCATATGTGTATGTGTGTATATATGTATGTGTGTATATGTGTATGTGTGTATGTGTGTGTATGTGTAAGTGTGTATATATGTATGTGTATGTGTTTAGGTGTGTATGTGTGCATATGTGTATGTGTTCATATATGTATATGTATATGTATGTGTTTTTGTGTGTATGTGTTTTTGTGTGTATGAGTGCATATGTATATGTATCCATTTGTGTATGTGTGCATAAGTATATGTGTCTATGTGTGTATATGTGCATATGTATATGTGTATATGTGTGTATGTGTGCATGTCTGTGTGCTTGTGTTTCTGTGAGGAGTTCAGTATGGATACTTTGTTGAAGTTATTGTGAACGTGCGAGTGCTGCAGACAGATTGTGTCGGTTTGAGAGGTGTGTGTATGAATGTGATTGTGAGAGCCTCAAAAGGTAGGTGTTGATATTTTTGAGTAAAAGCGAACCTATTGGTTACTCTTCGGTCGAATGGGATAGCCTGGTGCGTTGAAACTTAGGCATGATTGCAAACATGGTACGAAAACAGCACTGGAGTCGGCTATGAAGTTGTGCGCTTCTAAAT